ACGTTTTCTTTATGTAATAGATTTAACCTGATTTATTTTGTTTTTGTTTTAACCTTTTACGGTTTTTAAAGATTTTATTTATTTATATCGCTTAAGCTTGTTTGTTTTAGATAAGCTGAAGAGTATCCCCAGCTTATTTCACCTTAAGTTTAGCCCCAGCTTATTTCACCTTAAGTTTAACCCCAGCTTATTTCACCTGATGATTAACCACCCTAACACATAATTGACATAAAACTGGTTAATATTAATGTTTTTGGCTAATTAGTAAGAAATATAATAAAATTCTAATTAATAGGGATTTTTTATAATTAATGAAAAATACAATAGAAATAATTAATAAGAATAATTTTGGGGACCCGTGAACTTACTAATTGGTGTTAAAATGGTTCAAAGGACAAATTTATGGCTAATTAACAAACTCATTGGTGCAAAAATGGTGCAAGGGCTTTTAATGTCACCTATAAGGACCATAAACTGTCTAATTTGGTGACTACTGATTAATTCCGAGAGGTGACGACTGGACAGGTGTGAGATGGTTAATGTTACTAAACTTACCACTTTGACTTGTACTAATTATTTCACCTTTTACCACGTTTTAAAATAGGTAAATCTAATCTTAATAAAAAATAAATAAATACTCTTAAAAATTTTACAGCACGTCTTGATGGGAATATATTTTACCTATTTTACTACATATATAATTACCTTCAGATGGCATACCGTTCATTATATACAAGTTAATAAACATATAAAACCCTCAAGTGATGTAGATAAGTTGGGTATATGATATAATGAGGAACATGTAGTTATGAACTGCACTAAACAAGTTATATCCACAACTACTGTAATGGTGACAGGTTAGGTCAGATTAAACTCTTCTCAAGCTAATAATAACAATAATATGAGGTACCTTTTATATCCAGTGTGTTCACTATATCACTGTTTTACGTTATTCACCAACGAACATCATAATCACTGTATTATAACTGCCACAAAAGCTAAAATAACACAGTAACATCATCGCCATCAAACACGATCAGATTTCACCGCCCAAAATGAATCTTCGTCAATTGAGAACCTAAATTTAAATTCTTATCAATTTAAATTTTTATCAATATTTTTTAATACATTCAGTAATAGTTAATATTTTATTCAGTACCCAAATAACCCCTTATATTAAAATTAACCTATTGTTTCCCAAATGTCAAATGAGAATACTTTATCCTGGTTCCCTGCTGACCTAATTTGACTTCATGCAACAGGTATAAACGATGGTGTTATTAGCTGGCGATTATTTTTACTATTGCTATTACTGTTGTTGTTTTTATTACTATTAATATTCTTTATTTATAGCACTCGCCAGCCACCAGGTAGACTGGCTTAGGAAACTCATAACTTGAAACAGATTTACTAAACCTGCCATACTCACTATTTTATTTGCTAGTTTCTACCAAGAGCTCCATACATATAAACAGACAACATTTAACCATTTTAACAGCTTAGGTCATTAGTTATCATCAATTTCTCATTAGTCTTACTTTCATCTCCCATTTAAATATACGAATCACCTGAAGATTAGCCACCCCAGCTTATTTCACCTGAGGATTGAACCTAATGTTACCTCAGTGGTTAGGTTAGGTATTTAATACGTGTTTTTACCTTAATCCTCCGAGTACACAATGGCATATGCTAACTTATATACAGTACACCACCCACCCATCAATACCAAGTACAATATACATACAATTGAAAAGGTAACTAACCACTGATGTAATAACAATAAAAATAAAACAGAAAAATACACTAACCTTTATAAAAAAAAATTCATACAATACGGAAGCTGCACCACCTCACACGTAAAGACAAAACAACAACCATTGTAAAAAATCTTTATTCAGGGCTGTTAAAGCTATACAAAACCTTTTATTCACACTGGTATGTATCCAACTAAACTGTTTGCTTCTTTGTAAACAAGATCTTCCAGCCTTGGAGTTATTTTTACATATCAACGGACTTGATATACCACAACAATAAACTCATTACTTATACCAAAATATTCCCAAAGATAATATTATTTGTAAATTGTAAATGTAACTTAATATGAAAAAAAAAATAAGTGTGTGTGGTAATTTCAACTGATTTAAACAATTTTCTACCATTTTCTTTACACCCATCATCATCGTCATTATCATTATGTTTAGGTCATTTTCCATACAGTTAATATCACACAACCCTAAATATAAGTACCAGTTTAATGACTCCAATTAGCAGGTCAACTTGGGAGGTTAACGATCGTTCGGCGATATATTCTAACACAAATACAAGTTAGGGATTTGAGATTGAAGGTGTCGAGTTGTATTTACCTTTGTTTCTGTCGTTTCCTGTTGCTGTCTACACCTGTGTATTGTTAGTCTACACCTGTCTATTGTTACTGTCTACTGGTTATTGTTACTGTTTACTCCTGGTTATTGTTACTGTCTACACCTGTGTATTGTTACTGTCTACACCTGTCTATTGTTACTGTCTGCACCTGTGTATTGTTACTGTCTACTCCTGGGTATTGTTACTGTCTACACCTGTCTATTGTTTTCTACAGCTGTCTACACCTACAGTAGCTATTGTTACTGTCTTCACCTGCCTTTCAACACTCACTACACCTACCTTACAACACTCTCTACACCTGCCTTATAACACTCTCTACACCTGCCTTACAACACTCACTACACCTGCCTTACAACACTCACTACACCTGCCTTACAACACTCTCTACACCTGCCTTACAACACTCTCTACACCTGCCTTACAACACTCTCTACACCTGCCTTACAACACTCTCTACATCCCCCTTGGCACTCTTTCTCAAACCCTGATCCACAACACAAAAACAAGTAAATGGAATAAAGAATAATAAGAATTGAGACATAATAAAAATAGACAGATAATAAGAATAGACAGAGTTAACAATAAACAGACAATACAGACATAATAAGAATACAGATAATAAGAATTGACAGATGATAAGGATAGACAGATACTAAGGACAGAGAGAAAGACAGACATATAGGTAGATAAGATGTCAAAGCATTATATCATTCTTAGTCGACGGCACAGAGGAGCAGTCACAAAACACAGGGTGAATCATTCGCTGGTAGGCACTGATTAGTACTACCACTAATAGAGTCTGTTATTGAGTTGTGTGTAGGTATGTTTAGGGAATGTTTTTGATGTTTAATTCTCTTTAAATGCTTGTATGTCTGTCTGTCTCTCCGTGTCTCTGTTCCCATGTCTCTCTCACTTTTCCTGTTTCTCTTCCTAAGTCTCTTTCGCTCTCTCTCTCGTTAATCGTCTCATAAATAACAGTTACATCAGCCAGACTGCCAGGGAATGACTCACCCCTTACAATACTTTGAACAAATAACTGCAACCTATAATTCTTACATCTGGATAAACATTTTTAAGTTACATACAAAAATACAAATACAACATAAACGCATCTAGTACCCTCGTAAGTAAACAGCATTAAGACGACTACGGTATTTATTACCTTACTTTACCAACTCTAGTCGACATTCAATTACTTTATGACATTCGAGGTTAAATAAATAAAAAATCTTCGGGGTCAAAAGGGAAGGTCTTCTTACAAATCGCTTCCTCCGTCTTCTTTGAAGTTTCCGTATTCCTTCAGCCTATCCAACACAAAAGTCGAAGAGGAAAAAAGGCAATAGATAGATAGAATAGATAGAATAGATATATAGATGGATAGATAAATATCAAGATCGATAGATATATACAGCAGACAGATAGAAAGATACATACATATATATAGACGGAAAGATAGATTGATAAATTAGTTAAGGCAATTAATTTCAGATATTTCCAGTGTGCCATTTTTATACAGTACAGTACTTCACACAGTCATGCCAAACACATTGTTGTGAGAATAGTTGGTGACAGAATTTCCCCAAACACTTAAGGGAGACAGAGGGCATCTACCTGAGGGTCTTGTGGGTAAAAGTGAATTGTTATTTTAATATTGAGATTTTTTCTTTGAATTTTGATTATTTTTTTTTAATTTTGTAACATTATTTATCACGGTGAAACCTCCATATAACGGATGTCTCTCTCAATGTAATCCCTTAGATGGGGGTTTCACATCTAACAGACCCTCGATATAATACTCTCACATCAATATAGTTCGTCATATGGAGGATTCACATCAAACTGACCCTCAATATAATGGACTTTCCTCTCCAAAGAGTCCATTAAATAGAAGTTTAACAAGACCGTATACAGTGATCCCTCGGTTAACGAATTACCTTCCATAAGATTCTTCACTTCGGTTAACGAAAAAATTTATGTTAAAAAATTCCTTACGAAGTTTTCCCAACATGTTTACGCCTGCTCACCAGCTGTAGTATTAGTCCACCAATACAGTAATCGGTTTTAGGGCTTAAATTCGTTACCATTGAGTAAATATCAAGAAGATTGTACTATTCAATAATTTTCCAAGTCTTATATTAAATTTTTTAGTCATTTTAACAATTATTTAACATAATTGAAGTACAGGGAACTAGTTTTTAGCGCGCCAAACAGCCACTCAACACACCCAAAATGGCGTTGGTGTGTGTCCCTACTCAGTGGAGGAAGCTTCTTGCTTGAGACTCTCTTGAACATAAACTATTTTTACATTTTTACAGTAAAATTATTGGTCATTCTGAAGTTTATTTTACATATTGACAATATATAATGCAGTGCAGTGTTGATTTAAAGAAAATAATTTTGAATTACACCAAGTGAACCAGAATTTTATGGGTGAAATGGAGGCATGGGGTGACTTCTCTTCCACCCCAATGCCTTCTTTTCTCCCTTCTCCTCCACCCCCATTCTAATTCCCATCATCATCATCATCAACCAGGAGCCTTCTACATGCACACCTAAAAGTAAGTGTACTTTACTGCATTTATTTTTAGTCTGTTTGTAATTTTCGGTGAGCTGGAACCAATTACCTAAAATCCCATTGAAACAATAGTTTCGGTTAACGTAATTTTCTGTTAACGAACGACCTTCTGGAATGAATTGTGTTCGTTAACCGAGGGACCACTGTATCTGACCTCAGAGTAGATACCCCACATTAGCCAACAGTTCAGGAAATTTTCGCCACAACTATACACTCTCCGTCTTCAAATAAAATTCTGATATTTCAAGGGTTTTTGGGGGGGATACTAAATATTGGGAGAGATAGTGAATGATTTAACTTAACAATATTTTGGAAGGTTAACACGTTATAATAATCCACCTATTTTTTGGTAACAATTTGAATGACATCTTCGTCGCTCATTATGTGGTGGATGCCGACTCTCTGGGGATTGAATTTTGTGCTCTTACCCTGGGGAGAGAAAATGGAACTATTAAAACGTGTATAAAACTTGATCTTAAAAACATGTATAAAACTTGATCTTAAAACATGTATAAAACTTGATCTTGTATAAAACTTGATCTTAAAACATGTATAAAACTTGATCTTGTATAAAACTTGATCTTAAAACATGTATAAAACTTGATCTTGATCTTAAAACATGTATAGAACTTGATCTAGTAAAACATTCTCTTCTTCAACTGAAAGCAAAAAAAAATATCCTGTATGCCTGACAGTGTACTAGGAACAGCAAGGATACAACAATGTCTTCTTCAGCAAACAAAGTGGCAGTGTGGCATCATTGAAGACCTATCTACTCAACCAAACTAGTCTTGTCTCAACCCATTTAACTCACCCAAACTAGTGCATATTTGAAGACAGATAGAATAGACCGATGGATAGAGTGACAGACGTGCTCTACGGTGGCCCCCCCTCGCAGAATGATCGGGTCGGTAAAATCCGGAGCTCTCCCGGGCTTCTTTGTGTAAATACGGAGAAGAGAAAGTTCCTGCCACATCCTCTCCAGCAAGTAGTCCAAGTTCAGCTTCATGTTACAACTGCGAAGGAATAATGAGCGAGTTTACCACGAAACACTGAAATGAATATGATGTTTAAGGACTGATACTGTAAGCGGTGTTGTAGATTTGGGATTGGCTTTGGGTTGGCTTTGGGTTGGGTTGGGTTGGGTTGGGTTGGGTTGGGTTGGGTTGGGTTGGGTTGGGTTGGGTTGGGTTGGTTGGATTGGGTTGGTTAGGTTAGGATGGGTAGGGGTGGTTAAACTTCAAGATAGTTAAGCTGAAGGGCAAAATTTCAGGGAGGCATTATACAACACTGGCATATAGGCAGTGCTTAATTTGTAAAATAAAAAGTGTTGGATCTCAAGTGAGTCAGATACAGGTACTGGTGAGCAGTCGACTTAGCCTAGAGAGCTGATAAGCCACTTAGCATTGCCATGGTCAGTTGTGGAAAAAATAAACCAATAGGTAAAACACAATATATATCATTACCTGACCACAACACAGCTATTCTGATGAGCGACTCTGTCCACTTCCTCGATGGATACCTGATCGATCTTGTTGTACACGTAGAGGCACGGCATGTACACACGATTACCAGAGATGACGTCGATCAGTTCATCCGCTGCACAGTCTTCTCTGAATATCACCTGAAAAATATTAATTGTAAGATCACCTGAAAAATACAATTATCACCTGAAAAATATAAATTATATGGTCACCTGAAAAGTATAATTAATAGATTTTATAGATACATAGATAAAGATAGATATTTATTCAGAAAAATTGCCATAAAGGTTTACAATTGGTTCATCCTGTATTCTATATAGAGAATGCAGGTATACAGTTTAGCATATACATAGACAAGACAGGTATGTACGGAAGTGACCGGTCAACTGAAGGTAACTCATCAATGTGAGCACCGGTAACTAGGACAGTCATAAGGAGCCTCACCTCAGCGTTGAAGATTTTGTACTCATGTAGAATCATCTGCACCATCTTCTCGTCAATCTTGGTCAGCGTACAAGTGGCGTTGAACTTTATACCACCAACTTTCTTTTGCTGTTAAATAAAAAAAAAGCTAACATTATCAACAAGAAACACCTAAACTCAAATTAATAAAGAAAAAAAAACATGTCCCATTAATTTTCTTTTCCTATTAAATAAACAAACTAGCTTAAGACATGGGACCTAATTATAGTTAAAAATGGAACTAATGGTTGGTAGTCAAAGGGCTAAAGTAGTAACTGTCTTCAACCTCTTAACTATGGGGATGCCAGTTTTAATATCTTATCAGATTAACACCGATTATATTCAGCACCAAGAAGACCCATACACAAGGGGTTAAAAGTCCTCCATATAAGGTTATTCTGTTACAACACATTCCTAAACAATAATACTGATGAAAATGTAACAGAATAATTACCCTAAAGTAGATGCCGGGTTTCTTCTTGTTAAGTCTGATGCCGACAGCCTCCAGCTCAGCAGTTAATAGTTCCTTCTGTACCTCACCTTTAGTAACATCTACCATCATGATCACTAAATCTGCTGTTCTGGCCACGGCAATAACCTGTAACATAAAACTCCCATCAGTTTGTCTGTATCTTGGGGATTTGTGGAGAAGCAAAAGAGGCGACAGGATTTTTGTTTGCGACTGTACATAATATAAATTTTGGCTACAGTTTAGGAGGCGTCAACTTTCAATTGAGGAAGTGAAGGTGGTTTAAGTGTAGTGCTGGCTTTGTTATCTCTTTGAGTATCGTGAGTTAATACTGCATTCATTATATTGTCACCATACTGCCCCTGATGGTCTGTGAGGATAGACCTTCTTTCACTTTTTACACTGTTCATCTGGTGACCATATATGTACCGGTAAGTACTGCACTGGGCATGACACATTGGATACCACTAGCCAAGAACCATAACTACCAGGTGGGGTGCGGTCTTACAACTCTGTCAGATACATAGAAGGAATATTACATCATTAAAACTCAGATGAAGGTTCAGGCTACATATTTTGTCTTTGAAATAAATCTCAGAGGTGTCTCATCTGTTTTTGTCTATCTATCAGTCTTTTATTTTCATTCTCATTTTTGTGGTCGGTGGATAATAGGGTAGAGAAACATTAAAGACACGAGGGGGATATATAAAGAAAATACAATGATAAACAAGTGTAAAATGTGATAATAAAAAGGTTAGACACCCACACACAAACACACACTCTCTCTCTTGCATATAACCTCAACTCACATACACAATACAATATACAAAGAGAATCATCAACCTCCACACTGACTCACAAGACACCATCACACAATAGACAAATGGAACAGTGTATATTAATAAAAATCCAAATCTTACCTGTCTGCCTCTACCTTTGCCCTGAGAGGCTCCTTCAATGATACCGGGCAAATCCAACAGTTGGACGTTGGCCCCTTTATATTCAATAACTCCCGGGATACAAGTCAGTGTCGTGAACTCGTAGGATGCCGCTACGCTCTGAGTGTTGGTCAGCGTGCTCAGGAGGGTAGACTGCGGAGGAGGAGAGAGAGATAAATAACATGGCGTGATGATCGTTAATTTCCTCGGACTGGTGTACTGAACGTCATGATGTAAATACCGGTATATTTTTTAGTGATGATTGCAACTCAAGATGGCAGTTCATGTGGTTCAAAATTGTTGCAATACTGTTTTGGTAACCTGGGTGTGACGTGGGTGGGTATGGGTGATGGTAGGTGTGGGTGGGTTGGTGGGTAGGTGTAGATGTAACATGTATACTCTACAGCCCTAAAAACCACGCATGCCAATTAAACATGTGCAAAAACTCACAGGTTAAAATTGGCATTGACGCTTTTTAAGACCTAGAAACACAATAAAAATATATGCACAGTATTCTTAACATACACACACACACTAAAAATAATTACCGAGACAACTATAAATCAACTAACTGCCATGTCCAAGTCAACACACCTTCACGATCAGCATAACAACAAAAGCCTCGCAGTAAGCCTTACCTTGCCGACAGATGGGAAACCAATTAGCGCCACTCGGGCATCTCCGCTTTTCATAACATCGAAACCCTCGCCTTTCTCCCCTTTCTTGCCCTGGGGTTCGAGCAGCTGTGTGCGGTACTTGGCGAGCTTGGCCTTCAGCACACCCAAGTGGTATTCAGTGGCTGCGGAGGAAGGTTAACCCGGATTAATTATAAAGAACCTAAATAGTTTTCTAACCTGATTAATTATAAATATAGAAATATAATTTGAGCCATGTCAGATTAATTATAAAGAATGTGATACTTTTGTAGGCAGATTAATTATAAGTACTGTAACCAATTTCCAGCCAGATTAATTGTAAGTAACTAATAGCTTTCTAGCCAGATTAAACGTAAAAACCTAATTCTAGACAGATTAAATATAAATAACCACAGTTTTATACCTATTATAACCCGTACTCCTCCTCTATGCTATGTGAGGTGAATGATAACCAAGACAGAGGGGTAAGACTAGTTACAGTAGCAAAAGACAAGTTTAGGAATTGGAAGTAAATTATCATGACAGCAGAAACAATCACAGTCATGAAGATAAGTCCCGTCGCTTCATCTGCTGCTCCCCGAACCCCTTGAGATTCAGACTCGTGAACCTGAAGCAGCTACGAACAGAACAATGTATCAGTCTACTGCTGCAGGTTTCAGGTTCATTAGTTTGAATCTTGGGGCCGTGTGTAGGGTGTTGGTTCTCAGACTGGCAAACCATTCAAGGTGTTTTTGTAGACATTGCCGCTGCTATTGATATTTTTAAGGCCAATGGTGATCCGTAAAGTTTTATATAGTGTCCAAAATGCGGTGTAGACTACCACCATTGTAAAGATAATTTTATTTAATTTTTTTTTCACGAAACGACATAAAATCACCGAGACAAAATTAAAGTTAGGTTAGGTTAGGTTTTGTCAACTTTTGTATTTTTTAACCCAATAAATTCCCTCTACCTCAAAGCCCCACCTAGATTCTATAATAAAAAATTTTGGTATTAGTCCATATCCAAAATGCCTCCTTTCCGACATAAATGACGGTCAGATTTGATTGAAACGCCACAAAAACACTAGAAAACCCTATTACCCCTTGTTAGTATTTTCCGCGGCTGTATTCTACGGAATGTTTACAATTTATCATCCATATAAAAATGTTATAAAGTTACAGAATCTTAGTAACTGTGAAACGGAGGCGTGTTAATATCTACGACACATTTTTGCTCTCATAAAAAGTTGAATTACAAACAAAAAACAAACAGTGTTGTCATTTGGTGGATGAGGCAGACCATTTTTATGTATGAGAAAAATTAAGGAAAAACAAAATACAAAAAGTGTAATTCGTTAACCCAGAATGAGTTACTATTAAAGTAAATTTTTTTTCTTCTATAAATATTTTCCCTCAGGTAGCCGATTACTCAAGTCATCCCAAAGAATGTTACAATTTTTTTATTTTTTGGTTATTATTCCACAAACACCAGCATACGAGGCTAAGCTGTAAGACAAAGACAGATTATGTGACTAAGTCATAGGCCAGTGTTTGCGGAATAAATACCCAGTACATTAATACAATGACACGTTAAGTTAGGTTAGGTCAGGCCAGGTTATTTTAGTTTTGTTTTTAACCTGACATTTTCCTTGTTTCAAGACCCTGCCTACCTGTGATTAGGTCAAGATTAACAGGGAGGTAAGGGTCATAAATCAATAATTATACACAGTAAAACCTCCATATTACGGACCTATTTCTCCATATTAGCAGTTAGATGGGGCTTTCACATCTGACCCTCAATATAACGAACTTTCATTTCTGTAGTTCGTTAGATGGAGGTTTCACATCTGACCTTAGATATAATGAACTTTCCTCTCCATAGTGTCCGTTAACGAGAGGTTTCACTTCCTCCGAACCTTCATCATCACCACTAAAAATTGGTTTTCACATCTAATTTGCATACTGGAGATTGTAAAATTACCACATTGTCTTTGATTGAATATTTATCTTAAGTTGTTGGCTGACGATGGATCCGTCGTAGAGTATTTCTGAAGATATATTACTAAGAACGCACAACTTGGATGATCTCCCTATAGTACAACAAGATCTTAGTGGGTACAACCTCCTAACAGCTTCCAAGGGCTGCCTGTAGTTGAATTATTGTTAATTATCATCTTTAAACCATCAAATTCTGTCAACGTGATGAGCTAATGTCAACCTTTAGGATAATACCCAACAAACAATTATATACCCAATAGTTTCTCCAAGCAATGACTAGTGACTTGACTGACAGATGACGGTGTGACCAGACCCTAAACTTTGACCATTAATGAACTAAACCATCGAGATATAGATACAGGAAGACATTAACTAGACATTAATTTATTTTTTTTTTGCCACCAACGTCTGGATTGACAGGTCACACTAACCACCTCATTACACCTTAATTAACTCCCCCACCTTTATTCTTCTGTGTCCGGGCGATCTCCTTCTCAATTTCTCCGATCCTCTCGAGGATGCCCATCTTGTATTAGTTTTGTCAGCTGATTGAGGAGAAAATATTGTTTGGCAGCCGAGGAGAAGGAAACGTGTTGTTGTCTTTCTGCTGCTGGCCAGGTGGTTCATGTTGCCCAACTACAACGAACACCTTGCTTGATAGATAAATGGATAGATAAGTAGATATTTGCTCAATAAAATCATTAAACGAGTTACTAATTATTTATAAATATTTATCAACAATATAAGTGTGCAATTAAACATGTATATAGACAAAGTTGGTATATAATATTGAGCTAAAACTTTATTTTCTTGATGAAAGAACATACTTAGACATATTATAACCTAACCAAACACTACATTAATATAGCTAAATTAGTTAATGCTAAGTTATATTAGTTTTAATAACCTGATTCTAAAACATATTTGTATATTTCAACTATTTTAATTGTGGTAATTTTTTAACACTATTTCTGAGTAAAAGGCGTTACACTTTTCATAAGTGAGGATGATAATCTATTATTATATATCATAGATAGATAGATAGATAGAGATAGACAGATATATAGATGAATAGACAGATAGATAGATAGATAATCAAAAAGTAACGAAACATAATTATTACCTGAGATATATATTACATGTTGTTTGCGATATATAATTATTGTTATATTGATAATATAATGATAATATATAGTATTTTGTACCGGAAAGTAAAATATATATTCAATGACAGTTGAATTTTAAAATTTTATATTTATTTCTTGCTGTTTGCGATGAATAAAGCCCTAAATAAAATAATTAGAATAAGGATGTTCTAGTATTTTGATAAAGGCTGATAAAATAAAGCATATTTATTAATTTGAGGTTAAATTTTCCAATTAATTTATTATTTTGAGTCATAATCTCTTAAAATAAATGTTGTCTATTATTTAATATAATATATTTAAGTAGATAAATAGAATAAATAGCGAGAAAAGTGATAAATTATAGAAAATATAAAGAATAGCCAAAATATTCAAATATGTAGTACAGGAGTAAATCATAAATATTTAAGATTATATAATTTAATATAATTAAGTAGCTAAATAGGAATAATAGCGAGAAATTTGAGAAAATACAGAAGGTAAAGATAATATACCGGAGATGTAGTGAGGGAGAGAGACAACAGATGGCGCTGACATATGAGTGTCTTCTGCTAGGTGATCGACGGCGGGTCGCTCTTCCTCACTCCCTCAACCAAATAAGGATTATTACCTCTTCCTCACCATTAATTATCCCGGAATTTTGTACCGAGGAAGAGTATATTACAGTCTTCACTCCTGTACTGCCAGAAATAAGCGTAAGGGCTCATTTACTCCAGGAATATTGTTTTAATTCAGCCTCTTGTCACCATAGTCAATGTTGCATGAATAAATGTGTGTTAGTTTAGTCGGTAATATTGCACTGGGGGAGATATTATTGCATTTTTTAACCCTATATTGAAGAAAATAAATATAGCAACTGTATTTCTTGGGAAAATCTGAGATAAAATAAGTACTTTGTTCACTCGTCCGTATTGCAATATCAACTACACAAAAAAGGAAACGTATTTATATTTTCATTTGAATTTATAGACCGAGAGAGATTAATAATGTGTTAAATTTATCTAATGATGGAAAAGATGAATTAAACTTGTATTTACCGAGAAATAGACTGTGAGGGAGGATTGAGACAACGCAGCATCTCTCATCTCGTCACCCGGCACAGACAATCAAACGTATTTAATCTTATTTCTCCGTGTTATTCTGTACCCAGGGAGATAATAATGCAAAATATTACTCCTATATTAAAATTAAATCCTGTATTTTTTTAAGGAAGATCTGAAGAAGCATTACATCACTAAATAGGCCTACAGTAGAAATATTATGTAACATATGATAGATTAGGTAATGTCGTATGTATGTAATTCTGTACCGAGGAAGATAAATACAGAAATACAAAATTCACTCCTGTACTGCCGTAAATAACCGTAATAGCTAATATATTTCAAGTGTGATATAAACGTTACCAGACGTGTAGGTAAACGTTGTACTGTATTTGTGGAGGAATATTGTGTTATGTAGCCTCCGTCACGCCATTTCAGTGCATTATGATTGATACATACATACATAGTTATGTGTTCAGTAAAATCTTATAGGTTCATGTTGTTCATGTACTGTACAACAGGTCTGTACTGTCTATGTACACATTCTTTACCTGCACTGTCTGTTTACATTGTTTACCTGCACTGTCTGTTTACATTGAATCCCTGCACTGTCTGTTTACATTGAATCCCTGCACTGTCTGTTTACATTGCATCCCTGCACTCTGTTTACATTCTTTTACCTGCACTTTCTGTTTACATTGCATCCCTGCACTCTGTTTACATTCTTTTACCTGCACTGTCTGTTTACATTGCATCCCTGCACTCTGTTTACATTCTTTTACCTGCACTTTCTGTTTACATTCTTTACCTGCACTGTCTGTTTACATTCTTTACCTGCACTTTCTGTTTACATTCTTTACCTGCACTGTCTGTTTACTCTCAATATGCATGCTGAATCAATGTAACGTGTATGACGATTTTACTGAATGTGTCAATCTATCTATCTATCTATCTATACACAAAGTATATCAATCCATTAATGTTTGTACGGACTCATCTATCTATCTATCACAGAAACATTGATTAAAAGCAGCAGCAGAGGGGGGTAGGGGGGAGGGGTTGCGACACCTGCACCAACCACGTCACCCTTGCATGATGATCACTCACTATTTGCACACGAAAGAGTTCATGATGACACATTAATGCAGAAAATAAACACAATATATTTTTTATAGGAATAGTGTTAAAGTAGCTTATGTCATATCTCTTGTCATCATTGTTTTTAATGATCTTGATGATGAATGTTGCAGGATAAGAATTGCATCATCAGAAGGAAAAGTTTGTGTAGGAATACTATTGCAGAGCGCATGGTTGCATCTCTATATTTATTAGACTAACCTAACCTATTTTAACCTACCTTAATCAAACCTAAGCTAGCCTAACTTAACCTAACCCAGTCTAAACGAATTGGTTATAAACATCCAAATCAGTAAATAAAAAATGCAGTATTTAAACGTTCTAAACCCTTAAGTATCCAACTCTGTGTAATAGCCTAAACAAATCGGTCATAAACGTTCATATAACTAAGAATTTAAACGTTCTCTGTGTCGTAGCCTAAACGTTTCTCACAGCATCACCATTTAGCGGAGGGGAAGGAGGGAAGGAAGGGGGTTAATATAGCATAGCATCCCTTTAGCATAGCGGAGGGTTGCAGGAGGTAGTAACCATTCATATCCTGTTATCGTGGCGTCAGGGAGAGGCCGCCAGCCATTCTTCCCACTCAATAACATAACCGACTTTTATTTCCTCTTACGAAACTATTGTTTATAAAGTCTTCCTTTAATATATTTTCCTGGTGTTTTTATTTTTATTTGCTTAAAGATGGTAGTTATAGAAACAGTTGATATTTTTAATTTCGTTCACCTGAAGATTAGGATGGTGTTAATCTTCAGGTGAACCACAGCTAGTTATGTTTGCATTTCTCTATAAGATTATGTTATATTATCCAGCTGCACATTATTTATATTCTTTTTTAGTTATAAGTTATATGTTGTGATTGTTCTAAGTCAATAAAGTCACTGTGTTCATTTTTTTCTTTATTTCCTGCACTTTATAAGTTATGGTTAAGTACTGTAGATATATGACTAGTTAAGTAGATATATGGTTATAAGTAAACATGTGCAGTACTTAAGTAGATACATGTGCTTAGCTAAGTAAATATATGGCAAACACGTGTTATTGTTTATCGGAAAACTTAAGACAGTATTCCTTCAGTTTAACTCGTATTGTCATTAATATATTACGGAGTTAAGTGAGATATTAGTTTGATTGATAATATGCACCTGGTACTTCATGTATTATTATTATTGCACTGTGTTATGTGTCCGTAGAATGCATGTGTTGTTTATGTTATCACACGAGGTAAACATATGTAAATTAGCATGTAGAATCGTCTCTATTTTATTGCACCTGTTATGTTATTTTTACTTGTGTATCAATAAAATGCATGTGTTATTCTTGTTTAATTTTCATATTTATTATTTTTTTAGTTTATCTACTTTATTTATCTTATGGTCATCCTAACTTGAGGTATCCAGGAGACAAGTTCATGGTAAGTGGATTCTTATGATATCTCTCAGGCTTTATCAATGAGAATGTGTATAAATATTTGTCTTAAGTTAAAATAATATTGATATCCGGAAGTAATATCTGAAATGTACGTAGATTCGATTACAATACATACGTTCAATTGACATTATTTACGTGACAAAATTATACTGGGGGGAGTGGGAGGGTATGGCATAGGTAAATACGTTCACTAAACATTACACAATAGCTCTGGTTGGTGGAGCCGCCAGTAGTGAAGGCGGCAACATCATACACACACACACACAATATCAACAGCTGATCCATCACTACCTCCTCTCTCCCACAAAGGTTTTACGAAAATCTAAGTAAAAATCATCTTAGTTTTATTATATACGGTGGTGTTTATGTCAAATGTCAATAAAATATACAAAATGTGTAGTAACGTGCAGGTACCCGGCGTTACCCAAGAGGTTTGATGAGGGGTCCAGCCGCAATACCGATAAACAAAGCACATGTCAGCCGGGCCGAATCCTCCTCCCCACACATTGCACCTTCAGTTACACAACCTAACCATATATCAGGTGTTTATGTTAAAAGGGACACACACACACACACACTGCTTTATATGGTAACATAATTCAATACATCTATTAAATTTGTATTAAAGCTGTAAGTCAAGACGATACTCTACATTTTCCACGGAAGCATGTTAGTAAGTAGAGCACGGTAGGTGAGGAGGAGGTAGAGTAGTAACGGCGAAGTAAACGTGTTGAAGCATCGACCAATCCACCACAACACTACCACCTCTACGACCCTAGATCAATTTAACCCATCCGGAGGTATACAGCAGTGGTCTAGTGCATGGTTCTGTTGCTCCTGTTGTGATTGTTGTTGTATTCTAGCTGTTGTTGTTGTTGTATCCTAGCTGTTGTTGTTGTATCCTAGCTGTTGTTGTATTCTAGCTGTTGTTGTATCCTATCTGTTGTTGATGTGGTATCCTAGCTGTTGTTGTGGTATCCTAGCTGTTGTTGTTGTATCCTAGCTGTTGTTGTTGTTGGTGGTGGTGGTATCCTTGTTAAATATCTAGATAAACATATTGATAGACGAATAGAAAGATACAGATAGATAGATAGAAATAGATAACATGATATAGTAAATGGTATAGAAATCCTGCAGACGACACACTCTAAATTTCTATCATAACGACGTAAGATCTGATAACATTTGCCATCAGAACGTCGCCTCCGCTAGGCCCACCGTCACCATAATTGATCTCGGGGTCAGCTGTGGGTACCGAAAAAAGGTCCTCGACAACCCGCAGCGCTGAAGACAATCAGTGGGAGACGTGGATGGCCTTGGTGTGCTGAAAATATTCTAAGGTGTAGTTCGATCATAAGCCGAACCAACCTGACCTGACCTGACCTAACTTGTCTTGACAACCACACCCTAAGTTAACGAGCTGTATGACCCGGTGTAAATGAATAAGTTAAGAAGACCGGACAACTCACCAACTGCACCGGCTAATCATTACCTCCGGAGCATAATCCATCAAGGAATTAATATCCAGCTTCTCAGTTACCTCTGGGAAGACGGAGGCAAAAAACTTGCTTGCGGATCGAATATAAACCATATGGGGATTGATTTAAGTGAATATTAACAAATTGAAGGCATATTTAGCTTAATATACATTCATATTAGTTAATTTTAGTCTCCCCAGTCAGCAACCATAGAAAACGAGATTATATTACATCATTATTGTTGTGGTGTGCTGCCAGCCAGGGGGACTGTGTTAGAAAATGACAAGGAACATATATTATTATTACGAGTATTGATAATACCGTATGTTTGTTTCGGTTGAGTTGAGTTTGCCTCTTTTAAGTTGGGTTATATTAAGTTAATTCAGGTTAATTTAGGCGAAGCAAAGTTAGGTTAGATAAATTTAGATTAGGTTAGAGTTAAGTTGGCTTAGGTTAATGCAGGTCGTGAAATAATAAATAGATTCGTGATCGTGGTAAATATCCCAACACCGACCCCTAACATCACCCGCCATGTTCTCCCGCAACCTTCCTCCTCCTCCTCACCGCCTACACTAAACAAACCCAGAAACATTCTCCTATTACCTCCTGCTCCCTGTGGCTTTGTGTGGTGAAGGAGGCGGTGACAGGGGGCAGAGGCAGAGGATTTAAAAAAAGGTTCCTACGATCAATTTTCCTCGTAACTGGAGACTTTAGAATGGATCTTCCCAGCTAGCGATTCATCTCTCACCTAAGGTACACTGGTTTGTATTCCGGGTACCCCCCCTAGTCCACCCAGTTGAGAATGGGTACCACATAATTTTACCCCATAGAGTAAATATAAAATCCCTTTCCTAATAATCATTAGTATATGAAGGTGAGTCAGTAAGCTCCTGACTTAGTAACTCGCATACTGATTTTTTGGTGTTCCTTTCAGTCAGCATTCAGATGGCTCGGTGATGTCGGCATGCTCATAACAAGGTAAGCTCATTAATTATCTACCTTTTGTAATTACCACCATGATAATTACAGTATAATAATGTAATAATTCACACAGGTATATTAATTAGATTTGAGTGTGTTATGTTAGGTTAGGTTAGTTTAAGGTTTATTTCATATGGGAAAGTTGCCTCTTTTACAATCATTATTAGCATGACAGTTATTTCCAATCCCCTCACCTGGCACTAATTTCAATCACTTGGCACTTACAGGTATTTCCAATCGCTAATCACTTGGCTGTTGTTATCAGTAGTGGTAGAGACGCCCACCCTGTTACTATTTACGGTTACTGGTGCATTGTTTACCTGATAATACTGGTGGCTGGCGAAATAGGCCCTGTCCTAATGGGCCCCTGTCGTAATAGGCCCTTGTTCTAATGGGCTCCAGCTCTTATGGGCTCCTGTCCTCATGGACCCCTATCTATATACAAATGATGTATACATAGACTTCTGGTATGTAAGCAATATACATAAACAGTGTACATAATGCAAGTACATAAACAATATACATAGTTTACGTATATAAACAATATGTAAACAGTGTAGGTATATAAACAGTGTACGTAGACCTTTACACAACATTTAAACGTATACTTATGATGAAATAAAATAATTAATTATCTTTTCAGAACTTTGTTATATTACAAGTCATCATAGACGTAATTATTTTGAAGGCCAATTATGTTAAAGGTAATTTCTCAACTGGAAGGTATTTAAATTTAGCGCTAAATTGTGTAGGAACCGCTCACCTCCTCTCCTATTGGCTGTACCGTCTACCCGGGGGCGGAGCTAACACCCGCCCGCCCCTCCACAATATATCGACCTCTCTCGTCTCCTCTGCTTTAATACAACAAATAAACAACTTTAACCTTTACAAAATATATTACGCTATATTTATGCAGTAGTTGAGTTAGCGAGACAACCGTTTTTGTATATTTTAAGGTATTAGTTTAGTTTGTGGTGAGTGATGGCAGTTGAGTTAGCACGTGTGGGGAGGCTCCGGCTGGCCTGGTGTAAACAGTGATTCTTGAGTCGTGAGTGAGGTGGTGACTGTGATCTTTTTCCCGGGGTAGCCCATTAAGTTTACCAAGTTGACTATAGTGACAGGTGTTGGTGGTGTGAGGACTTGAGCCCTCTAGCCGTCCATCAACCATGTAGGTGTTGTGGTTGCTGTAGCCTCTTGGTTGACCTTACAAGAAGAGGAATTTCTTACTCGACCAAAAATTTTCTGGCAAGACTGTGTGGGTGTTGGTCCAGACTGCTAACACAACAACACAATGTGACTGTCTTCCTGAAACACACACACACAACGGTGAAATATACATCATTATTCACTGTGTTTACACGTATTGCATAACTGTTGTAGCGTAAGAAGAGGAACTGTGAATGATAGTGAAGAAACTGTGGTGAGGGCGGGGAGATCTGAGGCGTTCTGGGCCATCTTGTCACGGTGCCAAATTGGGCAGTAAACTCTTCGTACTTACAACGGGCGCAAAAAAATCAACACCCCTCGAATATTGAACTGTTTTCTATATGATTGAAAATATTTAGTACACAGAAGTACAGTATTTAGAAACATAGAAAAATATTGAATAAGATTTTTTTTTAAATCCTGGTCGTGTTGGGCCATCTTGTCACGGTGCCAAAATTGGACTAACACAACGTACTTTAAAACGCAAATTCTTGACCCTTATTCGCTGTGGGTTGACCCTCCTTGCATAGAACTACACTACAAGAAGAGAAATAGTTTTAAGGATCTAGTATCAATTGAATAAAAGGCTCTGAATTTCTATACCGTGAGCCACGTCTTGTCACGGTACCAAGCTGACCTTCAAGAGTCTGTCATCATCACCAAGATTACAATTCCAACATTCATTTTTTTTCCTCGCTCTCTCAGTGGCTGTCCTTATAATGTTGAAAACCTTGGCCGTAGACTGAAGATGTCGTGAGGCCAGAAACCCACTGTTGTGATCTGCTCTGATAATTGCAACTTTGACGTCGGAATTACTGGGATATTCCGAGTATTTCTGCCCCAGCTGTTATTGAATTCATTTACATTCTGTGGCTTTTAACAATGACTAATTATCTTTAGTTGTTATAAAGAAGAATTATAAACTAGATAAGAGTAACGGTCGTAGAAAAATTTTATTATCATACACAAAACGATCATCGGAGTGTGTTTCTGTGTTGGATGGAATATTAGAAAAAATTTGCATTGTCTTACGCACGGTAGCCAGATATTGAAGAAATTTAAACAATTATTTGTGTTCTTTGTCAGTTACTGTGTTTGTGAAGAAGGAAATTTTAAATAATTAAAGATTTAAAGAAAGAACAGTGGTATTTTAGTAAACAAAACAGCATACTGATGATATTATAACTTTTGAATCGGAATATAAAAAAAAACTGGCATCCTTTCACAAGACAACTAAGACACCCGTGAAGGACATTTGCGACCGTGAGATGTGAGTTACTGAGTGTATGTGAGGGTGACATCTCACTCACCTAGCTGTGTTGTAGAGGAGTATCGAGGAATATTAACCCAACGGTGAAGATTATTGACGAATATTAATAAACCGAATTACCCAAGAGGGGGAGTGTGTGTGTGAGGAAGACAGGTGACTATTATTAAAAGGGGAATATTCACACGACGGTGGATAATATCGAGGAATATTCACCAAGGAGTAAGACAACTGAGGGATATTTTACACTGTGGATTATCTAACCGGGAGGAGGAGGAGGAGCGGGAGGAGATCATCACATCAGCCACAGTGGAGTCTGCTGAGGTCGCCACGCCACTACGCCCATGTTGCTCCCACGCCGCCACGCCCGCTGACGCCACCGCCCACGCCAGCGACTCCACGCCTATGATGAGAAGCCATCTGAGCCACGCCCATTCACAGGTAGGTCAGGCGAGCGTGCTGTTATTCCGTCATTAAGATGTAATTTGCATAAGGGAAATACAGTAAGGTATTCACACACACACAGTAACGACGACCCAGTAGACCATCCTGTCGACATTTTAGACCCAAGGATGAGATGATTTGAGGGATGTGGCGACAGTGTCAGGGATGTGGCGACAGTGTTTGGGCCACTATAAGGACCCCCCTGAACTCCACACCTTGATTGGGCTACCTACCTGTTTGGGGTCATTATTACCTGTGTATTATTTAATCATACCTGTAGAATCACTCGAGTAGGGAGGCCCGTGTATGTGTCTGTATGTCTACCCAGCAGTTATTGGGGACCTGGATGTTAATCCATTTGCGAATCGTATTCCGGGGGGTAATGGTTAGCCAGTGCAGTTGGCGAGTTGTCCGGTCTTCTCGGACTATTCCTTGACACTGGGTCATGCAGCTCGTTAACTCTGCATGGGTGTGGTTGTTGTGGCCCTTGGGTCGGCCATCCTTGTTACACGAAGGGCAACCATTATTATGTATATCTGTATGTATGTGTGTATGTATATGTAAACAAACACACAAGACGAGTACCATTAAACCATCCGTTAGCGCGTTCTTGTCTATAACACTTGAGTTTGACCTTAAGTAACAGTAACTTCACTACATTTACGTAACTTTCTAATTCTTGACTGTACGCATCAGTAAACTGACATAAAGGGGGCCTGGCCACCTGAAAATTAGCCACCCCAGCTAATTTCACCTGAAGATTAGACACCCCAGTGTATGTGAAGGAATGTGAGTGTGTGTGTGTAAGAGTATGAGTGTATGTATGAGAACGTGTAATAGCATGAGTGTATGTGTGTGTACTAGTGTGAGTGTGTATGAGAGAGTGTATGTGTGTGTACTAGAGTGAGTGTGTATGAGAGTGAGTGTATGTGTGTGTACTAGTGTGAGTGTATGTGTGAGTGTTGATACAGGCCGCTACACCGCGTCATGGGCTGCCTGGTGTAGTCGGTCTAGTGTGGTTGCCTACGTGGCGCACACACCTCAGAGCTCGAGACTTCAACCTGAGTAGAGAGAGAGAGAGAGACTGTTGAATAGATAGATAGACTGTTAAATAGATAGATAGACTGTTAAATTGATAGATAGACTGTTAAATAGATAGATAGACTGTTAAATAGATAGATAGACTTAAATAGATAGATATGTAGACTGTTAAATTGATAGATAGATCGGTAGACTGTTAAATAGCTAGATAGACTTCTAAATTGATAGATAGATCGATAGACTGTTAAATAGTTCGATAGACTTAAATTGATAGATAGATGGATGCATGGATGGATAGTTAGATGGATAGACAGGATTGATGGATAAATTGATAGATAGACTGTCAGATAGATAAATTGGACGATAGATAGATAGAATCAATATGAAAGTTAAAGTATGATTGAATGTAGACTATTGGCTGAGTCGTGTGGTCGTATATTGTGATGTATAGGGTCGTACGTCTGGTCGTGTAGGGTTGGTCGTACTGTGCGTCTGGTCATGAAAGGGGTTGCGGTCTCTCTCTCTCTCTCTCTCTCTCTCTCTCTCTCTCTCTGTCATGTCACGTGAGTCATGTCATGGGACTGAAGCCGTTTGTCACAGTCGGGTCGTCATATCACTCACTTGGGTAATTTAAGCTAATATATGTCGGTCTGTCTGTCTGTCTTGTGTCGGGGGTACAGTTATGTTTTATCTCTGTCTGTCTCTATGTATGTATGTATGGATGTCTGTCTGTCTGTATGTCTGTCTGTCTGTCTGTCTGTCTGTCTGTTCTCTCTCTGTCTCTCTCTCTCTCTCTCTCTCTCTCTCTCTCTCTCTCTCTCTCTCTCTCTCTCTCTCTCTCTCTCTCTCTCTCTCTCTCTCTCTCTCTCTCTCTCTCTCTCTCTCTCTCTCTCTCTCTCTCTCTCTCTCTCTCTCTCTATGTCTGTATGTATGTATGTATGGATGTCTGTCTGTCTGTCTGTCTCTATGTATGTCTCTATGTATGTATGGATGTATGTATGTATGTATGACTGTATGTATGTATGTATGTAGGCTAATGTTGAGAGGATTAGGGGAGGGAAGGAGAGGGAGGGAGGAGTGGAGTGAGAGGGATGTTGGAGGATTGGGGTGGTGAGAGGGATGTTGGAGGAGTGGGGTGGTGAGAGGGATGCTGAGAGGTGAGAGGGATGCTGAGAGGTGAGAGGGATGCTGAGAGGTGAGTGGGGTGGTGAGAGGGATGCTGAGAGGTGAGTGGGGTGGTGAGAGGGATGCTGAGAGGTGAGTGGGTTAGAGGGAGAGATGCTCAGAAGAGAAACCAAATTACAGTGAAAGTAAAGGAATTAACAAGATGACGTCGACTGTGGTTACCTTATTACACACACACACACACACACACACACACACACTACTTCAGTAATAGTACGGAAGAGGTTCATTAATTCCCACACGTTGAAGTTAATTTATCTTCACAAAGGTTGGGAGTTCACTGAGTGCTTAGATTAGTACTACCATTCAGTTGTGATTGTGGTAGTAGTGGTGGTTGATGATGGTGAGGTTGGTGGTGGTATGGTGATGGTTGGTGGTGGGGGGTAATAGTGGTTAGGGGTGGTGGTTGATAGTGGTAGTGTTGGTGGTTGATGGTGGGGGTAATAGTGGTTGGGGGTGATTAGGTTGGGGTAGGTCATGGTAGAAGATAAAGAAGGTGGGTGGTGGTAGGTAGGGTAATTATGGGTTAGTAGTTGTGGATGAGAGGGTAGTTAAGGTGTTGAAAATGAGGGTGTGGTAGTGATGATGAATCTATGTGTGGTAACTTCCAAGAGACGGACACACAAGTTATACATCACTATTTACCTAACCTGACCTTGGGAACCTAACCTAAAATACTTTGAGCCCGAAGGTCAGGTCACTCACGAGGCAGTATTGGGGAGGACGAGTGGCACAGGGTGGGTGGGTGAGTGCCAAGTGCCACCGAGGGTACGTACATTACTCCATGGCACTGTCCGCACTCTCTCTTCTGTCCCTGTATCGAGCTAGCGGTAGAAAAATCCACGTGTTTGCGGGCATGGCGTGTGTTCATTGGTTAAGGGGACCGTCTTGTTGCCTACAAGTACAGTACATGTTGATTATGTGTGTGTGTTAACTTAATATGGTTTGAAATTAACCTTATTAACCTAACTAGCTATATTTTTAACTTAGATTAACGTAATTTAACTCAGGCTTAACCTAACCTAAGCAAATGTAAATCTAATTTAACCTCACTAAACCTCAGTAAACCTAACCTAACCTAACCCAACCTAACTTAACCAAACTTATAGAATACCAGTCCATATAATATAATAGTGCTATAATTAGGAGTTTTTTAACGACGTAGACTTATAAATTATATAGACTATAAAACCCTGTTGCTATAATTGGGAGCTTCTCAACCCCTTTATATCTAGGTATAATTAAAATGTCACTGAACGCTATAATAATGAGATGTGTGTGTGTGTGTGTGTGTGTGTGTGTGTGTGTGTGTGTGTGTGTGTGTGGGCGCATTGCGGGTGGGTGCGGCGATGTGGTGGTAGTGTGGTTGTGCTGTTGCCGCTGTGTGTGTGTGTGTGTGTGTGTGTGTGTGTGTGTGTGTGTGTGTGTGTGTGTGTGTGTAATAATAAGAACTTAATAGTATATCCTTGTGAGAAGTGGTATGGTTAGGATTAGGTTAGGTTAGGTTAGGTTCCCATCAAATCACACACTTGTATCTACCTGTAACATACTGACTACCTGTAAACATCTCACCTGTAGCTTACCTGTGTTCGATGTCTGTATGTCTAACTGGTAACTATAACTATCATGTAATCAGTTCATTGTACATTTGGTCCTCTCTCTCTCTCTCTCTCTCTCTCTCTCTCTCTCTCTCTCTCTCTCTCTCTCTCTCTCTCTCTCTCTCTCTCTCTCTCTGTAGGTGCTGAAGCCTCACCCACTGGATTCAATTTGAGATATATTCAATGTGGTCCTTCACTTGAAGGTGTATCACACAGGTACACACACACACACACACTACACCCAGGTCACACACTACACCCAGGTCACACTCTACACCCAACACACTACTCTAACATACTGACACCCAACACACTACACCCAGCACACTACACCCAACACACTACACCCAACACACTACACCCAGCACACTACAGTAACACACTACACCCAGGTCACACACTACACCCAGGTCACACTCTACACCCAACACACTACACCCAACATACTACACCCAACACACTACAGTAACACACTACACCCAGATCACACACTTACACCCGACACCCGAGCCTAAGGGACACACAACACCCCAGATGAGAGATACACAGGTACACCCAATACCAGGTGTAACCACGAGACAGCTCATGTGTGGTGTAGGGTGTAGTCAAGGTCATGGTGTGTTCTTAGTCCCCTCTCTGTGTAGGTGCGCGCGCGCGCGTGTGTGTGTGTGTGTGTGTTTGTGTGTGTGTATGTGTGTGTGTTTAATTGTTAGTCTCAGCCAAACCAACATCTGAGTGGTAGTAGTGGTGGTAATGTTGGGGGTAGTCTTGGTAGTAGTGGTGGTAGTAGTGGTGGTAGTGTTGGTGGCAGTGTTGGTGGCAGTGTTGGTGGTAGTGTTGGTGGCAGTGTTGGTGGTAGTGTTGGTGGCAGTGTTGGTGGCAGTGATGGTGGCAGTGATGGTGGTGGTGGTAGTGGTGGTGAATCTTCTAGCGACATCTGTGTTGTACTCTGATGCACCAGCAAGTGCCATCTCTCTCTCTCTCTCTCTCTCTCTCTCTCTCTCTCTCTCTCTCTCTCTCTCTCTCTCCCCACACACACTAATACCTCAGATTTTTCTTCTTTTTCCTTCTTCCTCTCCAATTTCCTCCCACCCCCCACCCCTTTCCTCACGGTGTACCGAGTCAGTGTTTAAGCTATGATATACAGCGTGACCACCTGTCCGTCCGTGTAGG